TTTTTTTTGTGTGTGTTGTGGTGTGGTTGTGTGTGTGTGTTTACCCCCCCCCCCCCCCACCAAATCCTGTAACTATTCCTGACCTCACCCATACATGTATATGTATTAAAAGGCATTTTAAAGGCATCTTTCACATGAACATTTAAAACCACTTGAAAACATTTATTATATTAGTTGCCTTTCTTCCTGGGAGGTACTGAAACTATTACCTGCACTTTAAAAATGAGGAAATCAAGGTGTAAACTAAGTGAAGTCACCCATAGCCAGTGGAAAAATTGAGAACTCCCAAATGATGCTGTACTTTATCAAAAACCTCAGTCATTTAGCTTCATCATTTTGGCCATCATGGAGGTTGGATTTTGAATGGCTTTCTCATTTTCCTTGTATTATCTTATGGATGGATGGATGCATGAGGGGGATGTCATCAATCAGTACAGTCTCAGTATGTAGTATCTTTTTCTTCAGCTTATGTTCTTTTACTAATTTCTCGGTTTTTTTCTACACTTATCAGAAGTGTAGGACATCTGGTAAGTGTCACTGGTCACTGACAAGAAATATAGTGGGAGCATATTCTGAACACTTTCTCCTTCCTCCTGCCCCCATTTTTTATTTTCATTCTCACTGCAGATGCCTTTCTCCATCTTATTTTCCTTGTTCCTTATTGCCTTTTATTCCTAATTCCTTGTGCTGTGCTGTGCTGTGCTGTGCTGTGCTGTCTGTCTGTGGCTGCATCTTGATGTTTTTATATATTCAGGGAAGATGTGTTCCACTGTATAGGGCACTAAACTGGGATTGTAGAGACCTAGGTTTGCTTTGCTGTTCAGCCTTTGACACTGAGTCCCTTCACTGCTCTATTCTTCCCTTTCCCTAATTCAAAGAAATTTGTTTTCTCATAAGTACTTTGACATTCCCAGATGTAAAGCTCACTCTGATAGCTGAGTATGATTATTATTACTCTGGCTTTGTGTATGGAGGTGTCAGCTGGGTCTGTATTTTGAAGATGACAAAAGTTTGGCATTTATCTTATTAGAGGCTCTCTGGCATATTTGCCAGGTATCAGAGATTTGGAGCAGAATATCGAAATCCATTATTTTTATATACTTTGAGAAAAGAAAATCTAATTAATTAGTCAGTAGGATAACTCATCACTGAATTCTTATTAGTTAGTCCACTGGATCTCTGCCAGAGTCTCCTTGATTTGTATACAAAGCACGCTGACTAATTGATTACCTGTTAAAGTGCAATTAGCTGTATCCACACACGCGCGCGCGTGTACACAAACTCTCTCTCTCCTCCCCCTCTCCCCCATGGAATGTTCTCCTGATTATTATTTGTCTTAAAAACTATTGACCTATACCAGGAGTGTCAAACATATAGCCCATAAACACGGTTCCCTCTAAGGTGCACGCGTACGTGGCTGTGCACAACTAAAAGGGTGGCCGCGCACAGCCTTTTCAAGGCCGTGCACCAGGAGAGGCTGGGGCGGGACCCTGGCACGGGGTCCCCCGCTCCTGGGAAGTTCTTCACTCCCCTGCATCAGTGCCAGGGAGTGGATCACTTCCCCGGAGCCGGCAGAGCCCATGCCAGCCTCCATCCCTGCCTTGCCTCGCCTTGGGGAGGAGCCGCTGCCTGCCCCAGTGAGGCTCTGCCAGCTCCAGGACACTGCTCCGCTCTGCCGCATTGCCTCAGGGAGTGAGGAGGCACGTGACGTGTTACAGTAAGCTTGACCTACTGCTGCTGCTTTCAGATTGTCACTGCATACCTGCACCTCCCCCTTCAGAACCTTCACAGCCTCTGGGCTGCCACTGTTGGACCCCTCTGCCACTGCAATGGCCATGGCAGCCACCCCGGTGCCTCTGGCTGGATCCAGCCCATGAGGAGCCCCACAGTTTAGATCCAGGCCTGGGCCCCAGGTGAGTTTAACATCCCTGACCTACGCTATCAATAGCACCTGTCTAGCCATTTGATGCTTGCAAAGCATTGGATCCTTTTTAGCTTCTCTTGATCAGGAGGAAATAGATCATCAACTATTCCATTTTGAAGAGTTCACTTCTCTTCTGGTGATGAGCTTTGACTACATGATAATGAGGGAGCAAAATAATTATTTTATAGAGTGCTCTGAAATTTTGCAGTAAGAAACTGTACATTTAGCATTTACTTGCATACTCATACAATTCTCATATAGAGAACAAAATGTGTGCCAATTGCATTTGACATCTTTGTAATATATTTTTTTCATTATAAACATTAAAAATCATTCTTTGGCAAGCTGTGATATGGCGTGCAGAATACATCTTATAAAAAGTTGTAAATAGCTAACTATGAATAACCCATGGATAATAATTAGTCATCATTACTAATCCACTTGAAGTGATGAATTAACATTTTTTTACTGTTGTAATATACACTCAAGTTTCTATATAGAAATTTTTAATGACTCAACATAACTTTCCCATAATGCAGGGATTTTCCAAAAAACCTGGCTACATAATTTTGGAATGCTTACCTGAGATTATATGCTTGTTTTGCCCAACTACCTGAGAGTAGTCTTTCTAGTCAGGCAGCTGACCCTTGTGTCACCCTATTTTTTTGCTGGCCTCTGGAGTGACATTCACAAACATTTGGAAAGAATGGTCTCTCTTGTAGTGACAAGTGTTTTCAGACTTGCAATATAAAATCTGTTCCTCTGTGTTTGTAGTGTGCAGAATTTTATTTTAGAGGTGCACCGATACATCAGTCACATATTGGATTGGCTCCAATGTAAAGAAAATTGACTGCGTTGGCAATCAGCTTTTTTTGGCTGTTGTGGCCGATAATGTGGCCCATAAATGCCGTGTGCATGCATGCATCTGCGGGGAGCCAGGAGCACAGCCCTGCAGTGTGGAGAGCAGCCGAGTGCAGCTGTTAATTCTGTTGTGTGGGAGGGGGTGTGGGGGTGTGCAGATTAAAGCCCCCAGGGTGAGGGAGGGAGTGGGGCTGGGGCAGGGGCAAGTGCTGCATAGCCATGGTGGGTGGGACTGCGGGGGGTGGGGAGGGCTTCTGCCACTATGTGCACCCCAAGAGCGCATGGGGGGGCATGTGCCCCTGGATCTGCAGGTGGGGCGATGATGGGCTGGGGCTGTGCTGGGCTGTTTCCGGCAGGGGTGGGGGTTGGGCCAGGGGCTGTGCTCAGGGGGGGTAGCAGGAACACTGGAAGGGGGAATTGGGGGGAGCTACAGTGAATTTTGGGATGGATGCAGCCCCTTCCCAGTGTCACTGCTGCCCACCCTGATTGCAGCCTGGGCCAGCCTCCCAATGCAGCCCTCAGTGGCACCCTGCCCTCGCCCCATGTACCAATGTGGGGGCAATCTTCCCCGTGATCTCCCAGGATGCGCGTAGTGCTGGGAGTCACAACCCCACTCCCCGCAGCCCCCGGACAAGCCACTTGCAACTCTGTCCTGCACCCTGCCCCGCCCCGGCTGTACGGTGCCTGCCCCAACCTGAGCCCCACTCCCTCTCTCACCGCAGGGGCCTCGATCTGCTCCCCATCCCCCCACGCCCCTTCCCTCCCTACCACCCCTTCCCCCAAAACAGGCTTACCACCCCGTCTCCAGGCTCCAGGCTTGCATACCAGCGATTGGATCGGTATCGGCTGGTATGGCTCGTTAAAAAAATCGACCATCGGTATCAGCCCAAAAAATCTCCTATCAGTGCACCCATATTTTATTTCCTTTGCCTGCCTTAGAGGATCTAAAGTCACAGAAAGCCTGTGTCTGTGACCATCGGATCTTTGGTACAACAGTTCTTTTAAAGCAGCTATGTCCAGCCTGTTCCCCAAGTATGGTTGTAGCCCTTGAGAACAGTCAGATTGAGAATGGTTGTTTGTATTTAATTGCAAAGTGAAAGTATGTTCACTGCAATTCCCTCCTGCAGTATGAGAGGGATTTGCAGCGATCCGGTCTGATACAAGGGTGTTCAACTGGCTTTGTGCCTTGGAGAGAGCCTCATGATGAAGGACACCCTTCCTCCCTGCTGTGCAAGATGGCCAAAAGCAGGGTAAAAAGTGAGGCTGAGAACCAGTGAGCTGTCATAGCACCTGGATCCTTTGCCCAAGCCCTGGCACAGATTATGGCCACCTGGGACAAGCTGTAAGTTGTGCCATTGCTTGTCATCCCCAGGGCAGGATGTGTCAGCTGGGATGTGTGCACTTTGGCTAGTTTCCCTCTATGTGCAGGGGACAGACCTTGCTCCTTGATATGCTCTAAGAATCACTGAAAGAGGTCTTAGGCAGATTGTGGAGGAGCCTGATATGCATGCAACTGGGAAAGGGATGGACTTCCCCACAGAGGAGGCCCAAACAGAGAGAGAAGTTGATTGCAGCTACAGAGGAAGTCCTAAATGAATTGTACTTAAAAGGCTGCAGAAGTTAGTGTGGTCAGTGTGATTTTTTTTTTTTTTTTTTTTTTTTAAAAAGGTGCAGAAATGTTTGTGGGGGGTGTTTTTTTTTTTTTTTAAAAAGGTGCAGAAATGTTTGTGGGGGGTGTTTTTTTTTTTTTTTAAAAAGGTGCAGAAATGTTTGTGGGGGGTGTTTTTTTTTTTTTTTAAACAGTGAAGGTCCTTGTGCCATTTGGGACAGCTTGGGCTGTGCACAAGGTGAATATTTTCATCCTGAAGGGTCCATTTGGAGTTGAGGTTTAAAACTGCATTGTAAGAAAGGGTACTTGTATTAGCTGGTTTCTATGATGGACTCGATGGGCTGTATTAACAGATTGCTGACCTCATGGTTAGCAGCATGAATAAATCAGTCTGGTTTGTAACCTTCTGTTAAACCGATGTATTTTTGGGAAAACTGAGTCACCACTGCCACACATCAGCACTCCCTCCTGAGAGGAGTTATATGAGAATAGACTTCCCTTTTGTTAGTTTCTCACACTTGGCATTTAATTTATTAAAAAAAAACTCCTGCTGTTCCTCACCTTGTCTCCAGCAAATCTCCCTGAAGAGCACTGGCAAACGGATCAATCCAGTGAAACGAAACTGCCATTTTGGAACAGCCAAGTAAAAAATGTGTTTTCAAGTATGTACAGGGCTGCCCCTCTGGTATAAACCTTTGATTATAGTTGCAAGAGTTTCCAGTGTCGAAAAACTACTGTTAAAGACATTAATGGGAACACTGGAGTCCCTGATTTACTTAGCACCAAAATCTTAAAAGCAACATTTACTTCTATAGAGTGCGAGGACTGTCCCAAGTGCACAGGGAAATAAATTTCACTTCATTATGTACATAATGTGCCACCTTTGAGTTGGAGCAGCACCTTTAGTGAGTCATCTGAAGCTTAAAGAGATGAGAATTTCTTGAAAAGTAAAATAAGAAAAATAACCTGGTAAAAACCCTGTCCTAGGACAGTTCATTTGGGTTCTAAATTATCCCTTTTTGAGTATGGGTTTTAGTGCTGTATTGAATATTCATTTTTTTTTTTCTTGATTTACTCTTCCTGGAAGCTTGAAATGGGTTGTATGAAGATGTTATATTAAATGGATTGGGCCCATGCAAAAGAGGTTGATTTTTCTTCAAAAGTTCAGCATACCCTTCCCTTTCCCCTTTCTCCCCGCCCTCTCTTTTCCTTAAAAAAATGCTTTTAGGACTATAATCCGTTCTGCCTGTCAAACCTGATTCTCAGCAAATTGATTTTATGTGAAGTCCCACTGGAGTTTTTGTATGAATTGAAAAGCATTGAGCAGTGTTTCAAAGGGAATGTAGCTGAATTATCAGTGAAGAACCTGTCTGGATGTAAGATCCAGGGTTACTTTTTAATCTGTGTATTGATTTTATCTCTGATATCTGTCTCTGCCTCCCATAGCAAGAGCACAGTGTTGGTTCTGCACTCCACAAGCTGCTTATGTTGGAAGCGTAGGTCTGTCTGCACTAACTAAATGCTTGATTATGGTCACCTATCCAGCACTGTGGTAGCTAATTAGCGCCTATTTCTAGAAAGATTTATGAAAATAATAAAGTTTCATAATCTTTTAAAAGTAAGTAAATCTCTGCCCAAATGGAAGTTTGATTTGAAAATCTTGAGTTAAGTTTCCTGTTCCATCTTATTTATTCATTTTTTATCTCTAGCATATCAGTGCAAGACTCTAGATGCCATAAGTATTAAAAAATCCCTACATAAACTAGTGAATTAGTACAAAGTGCCTCTAGCTTATTCTGTCTAATGAGTCCTCCCCGCCCCCCCAGCTTTGCAGCATGTCTGGAAATTCAAATCAAGGCCCTTCTATGAAAATGCTTGTCAACAGCCTCCATGACATCACAGGACAAGAGAGGCAGTTACCCAAATAATTCTAGGTTTTTAAATGTCAAAACTGATGTCCTGCATTGCATGCAGAAGCTTTTTGGGAGGTGATCCATAAGTGGGACTGTATTTTTGAGATCCCTGCTATTAGTTAGGCTGGCTGTTTATGTTCTCACTGACTGTAGCTTTTGATGGTGTCCAGATGTAGTGCCACGCAAAGCATATCACAGGAAACCAATCCTGAGGTGGCACGTGCATTTATTGCTGTAGTGGCATAAAAGTAGTTCTTTTCTAGCCGGCTATAGATGAAAACAGGTTCTCTTGACAACCTGTTTTGCTTAGATGTCCAGAATCATCTGGGTACCTGATGAGACAAGCCAACCTCTTCTACCACCCGGAGTGACAAATCTGATCTACACTTCAGTGACTGTTCATTCCCTTTCTTTCCATTGGGTTGAATTTAGATAGTGAAACTTCATTTAAACTGGAGTTTGTTAGATTCTGGGTAGCTTGTCATCTGAACTGCCTGCATCCATGTTAAGTGCAGATGGAGGACTAGTTCTGAGAAACCCATTCATAAGTAGTCATTCTGTGGACAGTAAGTCAGTGCTGTTGTTGCCTTAACTACATGTCTATGTTGAAGTACTCATAGGATGATGATATAACCGTATTAAAATTGGTGTGTGTTTAATGCATTATAAAATAAAGAGTTTATAGCTCTTTGATCAATTTCTTAAGTTACATGTAGCATATGCTATGGCATTGAAATAAAACAAGTCTGATAAGGATGGCATATCATCTTTCAGGGATCACAGACATGTATATCTTTCTGTTAAGTTATCTGTGAGACTGATCCTTGCAAAGAGCATGCTTTCCTTGTTAGGCTTTCTTCCCTTACATTTGACAGGCGTAATTTTTCAAGCAGATGAATTCACAAACCATGTCCATTTTCAGTGGGAAAGACATCAAATGGTTCTGCATGCATTGCACATTCATTTTCTTATTGATTTTGGTAGGAGTTTACAAAAGCAGCACAGCTCCAAAATGTACGTAGGCTCTGGAGAGCATTCCCATTTGAGATTTATTTTAGGCGTGTTAGACTGGTTTTTAAGTTGCTTGACGAGTGATATTTTTCAGTGTATCCTTGCTTCTCCCAGCATGCTGCTAGTTCACAGAGCATCAGTGAATGTGCCACTTGAATTGCCTGATTTCTTTGCTGTACACAAAATATTTGGGGTGGGAAGTTTACATGCAAGTGTGCTCAAGCTGTACATTGACACGTGTTCTACTACTATGGGTTATCCTCTATTGGGTCTTCATTTTATTTTTTTCTTGTGTTTCATTTAGGTCGTATAAGCTTCACAGAGCCAAATATCCAGAATATTCCAAAAGATTTTGAGATTGAAATGCCAACCCTGGTTGAAGAGAGCCCGCCTTCCCAAGCACAAAGAAATGGCTCGGCTCTTCCTGGAGCCAGGTAGGGAAATATCTAGCAGCGATTTGTATTGTTCTACTTCTATTAATATGATCACACTATCAGTTTTCTTCTTTCTGTCCTTCACAGAGATAGATATAGACTCCTATAAGTGTCTGTTCTGTGACTTGTTGCTCTGTATTTCTCTGTTTGGAGGAGAAATATCTGAAAATTGGTGGCATGTGAAATACCCAGTAACACTAATAGCACTTAGCACTTAAGTATCACTTAACCTTTGGGAATTTCTGTGTCCTGACAGCCCCACTCCAGGGTTGGTTAGCATTGCTTCCCTGATTTGTATGGCTGGGTGAACTGAGGCACAGTAGGATTGAGCAGGGTTTAGAGATTTTCTTAATTCCTGGGTTTAGTTTAATTCAGTGTTGCCTCTGGGGAGAACAGAATAAGATTAGATATACTTGTGTACAGCACCGCTTCTTAGATCACCTATCCTGGTGAATGAATTCTCAGTGCTATATTATTATTAATAATTTTTATTATAAAGCTCCCTCTGCAAAGGCAATTAGGCTGCTGAACAGCTATTATAAATCAATTTCTCTTTAATTAAAAAAAAAAAAAAGAAAAAAAGCTTAACAAAATTACGAAGAAATAATAGTTTACCGGGTCAAGACAGCCATATTGTAAACTTACACATAGACTAGAGATTCAAATTTAGTATTTTTTTTTCTTCTTGTGTTTTATGTCTCCCTACCCTCATACTAGTTCTCATAATTCAGGGATTCGCAACCTTTTTTATGCTGAGGACTGACAAACTGCGGACCAGCAAACCGTGGACCGGAAGTGACCATGGACCAGCAAACTGTGGACCAGCAATGACAGGCATGCTGCAGGCAGGTAGCCAACTCTTTTGCATACTCTTAGACTGAGTATGAAAGAAGGAGTGGCTGCCAGTACGCAGTATGAGTCTTTGAGTCTGCGTTTTGCCAGTCCGTGGCTTGCCGATCTGTGGTCACTTCCGGTCCAACAGCCAGCCCTCCTGCAGACCAGCAGCTAATCCTTCGTTAATGTTATCTTTCAGGGATATGGTTCCGCCTACTCTGAATAAAGCTTGATAGTAGGGCTGTGCAAAGCTTCGCATGGCGATTTGATTCGGAAGAGATTCAGCCCAATTCGGTGGCCAAATCTCCCAAGTCTGAATTGAATCGGGGGACCAATTAAAAGGTCCAAATCGATTCTGTGAACTTCACAGAAATCACATACTAGCACAATCTCGGCAGAGCCCCCCATGCAGCGTGGGGCAGTAGGGTGCAGTGGAGATTGCCCCCCACCCAGCAGCACCCAGTGAGTTGTGGCTTTTTTTTCCAAAGAGCTGGGAAATGGGGAGGGCAGGGCAGCCATGGTCAGGCTGTAGGGGTTGGGTCTGGGTGATTTGGAGATTCAGCAGCAGCCGAATTGCCGAATCAGATTCAACTGAATCAATTCTGGACAGTGATTCGAATTACCAAATCAAATCACTGTCCCCTGAATCATCTGAATCTGAAGTGAATACTAGCCGCTTCGTACAGGCCTACTTGCCAGTTAGGTATGTGCCCCCAGTAAAATAGAAGAAAATAGTGTACCATAATTTCAACCTCATAAATGCATCTTGACACTACCTTTAGCAAGAGAACCCTTTGCATCTGTAACTTATGGGTTTTTTTATTCTCTTGCATGCTTTGTATGATGCTGAGTATACATACTGTAGCTAAACTAACAATAAAAACAGAGTGATGTGGTCTAATGCTGAGCACTATATGCTGATTTAGGAAGCAATTAGCATAGTAGCACTCAGCATTAAACCACATCACTCTGAGGAGCTGATGAGAAACCTCTGTGTGCAGCATTAGGTCTGAAAAGGTCAGATGCTAGGAATTGCATTTGCAAATATGATTTCTGAGGAAATCTCAGTAAGGGCCACAAGGTGGAAATGATACTAAGAGAGCAGGCACAGATGAGGGTATGTAATTGTTACCAACTCTAATACTGTCTGCTTAAGAGATGACCGGAGGAACTCTATACCTGTTCAGGGTTTCCCAAAGGAGGTGGTTGAATTTCTAAGCTTGGAGCAGAGCC